CAGTTTGGTGTGGGGAAGAGGCGTAATCACACCGTTCTTTTATGGATGGAATGTAGGACCGCTCATAGTCGCTTAGCCTAACAGAAGCACGTATTGCATGTTCTACTGGCAGCCACATCTTACCCCCGGCACCAATCCGTAAGAGCCCGCGCTGAGGCTTGATACAGGTGCTGCATGTGACGTGGTAGCTTATGAGCCACTGCTATCAAATCGTTAGCGAACGCGACTAAATGTTTATAAAAGTAAAAAGTGTATATCACATTTTTTTATCGAAAATACCAACTGAATACAACATGGAAGGGTATCTCAGGCTGGGGCGCTGGCAGGCCCGAGTTTCAGTTTCAGGTTTACTCCAGTTTGGTGAAGGAAAGGGCCTAATACCTCTTTTTCTTCGGTGGTTTCTCACCTAGCTCGTCGGAGCACTCCATGCGATCCCAGATCAGGTCCTTTTGACCTAGGCTTATATCCTTCTGGGCGCCTAGAGATGGCCAGGAAGGAGGCTCTGCTGGCTCGGTCGCATGAGCATATTCGGCGTCATCATTATTGCGTAAAAGGGCAGGAACGTTTGCACCGCGTCTCACGACGAAACCCGAGATTGGAATTCCAGTATATATCTAGTAAAATAGTATACGTATGAGATAAATATGACAAAGTAAAAATTTAGGCACTATCTATCCCACCTTAGCGATTCTTTCACCAGAGTCACGATGGTACACTCTCAGGTATCTATCGATGGAGGAGACTATGATGATTGGGCAGTCGTTAATGGTGGTCGTACCACTTGCCATGTGTGGCAAGTTTGCCTCCCCGCCTCCGCTTACTATTCCCGTGATGGAGCCGGATGCCCCAAGCAGCGTGGTGACAGAAGTGGGAAATTGAGGGGATTTGGCCCCTAGACTCTTACGCCTTGTAGTAGCATCCTCGCAAAGGATAACTTGATTTGGTACCCTAAAATCCAAGAGGCATAGCTCGCCGATGGCGTTGCCGGAGACGACTCTCATGGTTGCCCCAGATGCGTGTTCCAACGGTAGAACTCGAGTTATGGGCCTAGTGGTACTTAAATCGGGAAGCATGGCGGGATGCGTACCGCGACCAACAATGGCTTTACCATGCTTGCGGCTCTGGCGCCACGCGACACGAGATGAGGGCCGGCGTTGTCCAGAGCGCAAATCGAAGAGGTTAATCTAAGGGATAGGTGAAAAATATTGGTTATCCCATCCATATAAATAGCCCGATAGGGTCCTATAAAACCTCACTTCCGCGTATCTGGAAGAGGTGATAATCAGATTTCCATTGGATCCTGGACAGAAAGAGAGGTCGGAAATCCATATAGGTGCCTCCAATTGCAATGTGCTAGGGCGTACATTCTTTGCAGAAAATAGTGGAATACTAGGATTAGCTAAGTCCCACACCTTTAAATTATTATTCCGACCACCGGTTGCGACTCTGTTGACAAGTAATTTTGAAGTCTCAATTTGGCCAGCGTTAATACTCATTTGAGATGACTTATCAACCGGGTTAATAAATTGAATAAGTCCGGACGCCTTAGATATGAAAATATGACTAACAGAATGGTGATGTAGCAAATTACCTTTTGGTGCTATATATGCTTAAGGCTCTTGAATTATCATCATCGAAAATAGATAAATGCTCGTGCTCGATGGAGCCAGTATTTAAATTCAAGGTTGTCAATCTATTATCATCAGAAATTAAGTAAATCTATTGAGAATGTAAGCATATAGAGCCGAACCGATTCCTCGCCTGAATCCCCCCAACACTGTGAAGAGATTTTTTTGCCATTTGTAAAGGGCACAGAAGTGACTCCGCGATCACTAAAATTTAGGGCTAAAAAATAAAGAGGAGAATAAATTACCTTTGATGTGTCCGTAAGCAGAAAAAGCATAGAGATCGTAGTCGGTGAACATGATGATATCAAGCCGTGCCCATATAGCAGAGGCAAAAACAACGGAGTGCGGCAAATGTGATGCACAATAAATTTATATAGCTGAGATGCTTAATTTAAATATAATTTAATTTAATTTAAAATTCTTTAAATTTTTGGGAAAGTAAATAATGGGCGAAGTTTCTAACATCTCACTATATGATAGCTTTTTTGTAGGCATGTCAGTGTTTTGCCAACTTTAAATGTCCCTATTGCTGCTCTTTCGTGTGAGACATTTCAAATTGGCTTAAAGAGTTGACGTTGCTCAGATTCTTGAGTCCCAATGGATGTAAAATCTGTGTAGGACCGATAGATAAATTATTTTATACTCTTCCAATAAATATAATCACTTTCACTCAATGCATGTCTACATGCTTTTTATGTAAAAATTTATATATGTAAATAAGTCCATTTACGATTCAAATTAACGATTATTCTCCAAAAGTGCATGCCATCTCAATTCATTACTTATCGTTTATACATCCATCTGAGGCTTGACGAGGCTTTGATGATTAATAAACTCTAATTTGGTGCTACCATATATTTTGTGACCTGAATAATTAATATATGAACTGTTTTTACCCTATTTTGTTTAAGACAACTAGGAGACTCCGTTGAATTTCCCCTCAATAATATTAGTATATC